TGAGTTTTATGGCTGCGGTTGGGCTGTTATTTTTGTGACTACTCACTGGGTTGCTTGTTTTCAAATTTATTATATATTGTACAACACAGACCAGAGAAAAAGGGGTAATGTGGCAACAAAATTTTGAAAGCAGCAATTAAGCACATGGGAGACAGAAAAATATTTAAATCTTCCAGGTTGCCTGTTAAGTTACTGCTGTTTATTAACAATTATTTGCAAGGAAAAAGGTCAAATTGAACAATGAATGGCCTATATGGTTTATTTTGCAAACGAGTAATTTAAAGACATGCCTGCACAACACTTGCAAATGTTAATGCTGTTGAGACAGTATAAATGCAAAACAAATACTATTACTAATAAAGAACAGTTGTAGTTCAGGATTGAAATGATGGGTCCTTAGTGCTCGCTGAGCTTTTTCTTGCAGTTGTTGACTAGCATTGACAATGTTACCTAGTTTGGGTAATGAAACTTATGCAACAAAACAACCAAGCTAAGACAGCATGAAAGATCTCTCAAATAATATTACTAATTTTGAGCTAGTTTGGTTAGGTTATTGAGAGGCCAGTCTAGAAACCAAGAGACTGTGAGTTCCAGTCCTGCCTTAGGCATGAAAGCCAGGTGGGTAACTTTGGGCTAGTCATTCGCTCAGCCCAACCTAAGAGGCTGTTATTAGGAAAATAGGAGGAGGAAGTATTATGTATGTTCACCACCTTGAGTTATTTATAAAGTAATAAAGGTGGGATTAAAAAATATAATAGATTGAATAATTTTGCTTGGACTGATTTATCAGACTTTGGTATGTACAAGTATTCTCTACTTGCTGCTATGCCCTGCTGATGTTGAACTTTCAGAATTCATTTAAAATACCGTATATGCCGGAGTATTAGGCGACCTGGCGTATAAGACCCCCGTCTTTGGCGCCGAGTCGCATTCCTAGAACGTCGTCTTATACACCAGAAACTACCAGTATTTCCGGCGTATAAGACGACCCCCGTCTTTGGCGCCGATTTTAATGCTTGCGGAAGTCGCCTTATACGCCGGCATATACGGATAAGATGGTATGTTAATTGTGGGAATTATTGCTAAATTTTGTTCATGATTGCTCTTTTGACCTGACAGGGAGTTTCTGGATTTTCCTTTGGGGGGGGGAGACTATAAAATATGTTACTGAAAATCAAATATTTTGTGGGGATTCAAAATAATCACAAAGAGCCACAAATTGCTCACTCTTGTATTAAACAATCAAATACTCCATATATAACTACATAATAAAACATTTTCAGGGAACATAAAATGCACACTCCCACACATCTTCTTACCTAGATGTTCAATGATGCTGGAAACTTTCCCAAAAGGCATCAGTTTAACAGATTCAGGAAGAATTATCATTACGTCTTCAACAGGAAGTGGGTCCTGCTGAATAAATAATTTTAAAAATCATTTGCATACTAAGGCCCAATCTACGTAACTTAATTAACATTCACTACAGGCTATAATTATTTTCTTACTAATATTAATGATGTATTCTGACAAACAATATGCTAAAGATAACCACAAATACACAAAAAAATACTTGGAGAGTCTCTTCAGTTCTCCAGAACTAGAAAATGCTATATTTGTGCACTCTGAAAATTGGCCCAAACCACTTCAATCCTCTGAAAATTGGGCAAGATTGGCCAAAATGAATAGCTGAAATAACTAAGCAATCTGGTACTTTTTTCTTGTTGGAATACATTTGTATAATATGGATGCATCACATGGTTTAACACTTGTAAGGTAACAAAAATAACAAGGGAAAGGAAAAAAGAAATAAGAACTTGAAAGTAAATGTATCTTTATAGCCCATCTTTCTTCCATTCCTTGTGTACGTGACCAAAAGACAAACTATTAAAACTTTTTTCTGTGAAAGATTTCACATCAATTAGATACATGTAATATAGCACAACTTAAGATGAAACTGAATAAAATTTCTATTCTACAAGTAATTCCACTTCATCAAAACAGCAATTCTCAAGGAAGAAATAGATATTTATAAGGGGAATGAGTACACACAACCTAATATTTTTCCTTTTTCTTCCTGTTAGTTATATTTAATTTACCAATTCAACTTCACAAATACCTACCCCAAAGATTGTTTGAAACCATTTTCCCTGCCATAATCTAAGCTATGAATAAGAATATCTGATTGGAAAAGTCTGCTATAAACATTTATACGAACGATCAAAGAAATAAAGTACCTCGATTTGCACAATATACTTCTATCTGTTGTCCTCTCAAATTCATTATTTTGCTAAATGTAGCTTGGTGATAATTTTTTTCTAGGTAACACCCAACTGTGTTTTATAACAGTAAAGACACTTACTTTAGTCAATTCACTTTTTTTAGTAGAAGAATTTTCATTTTTATCTTGTTGATCATCACCATCAGACAACAATGGAGAAGAGGAAAGAGAAGATGAACTGTCTGCATCAGTATCACTGCAAAGGGAAATACTATTTTTCAACAAGAATTCTGCCACATTAATTTAAAAAAGTAATAGCAATGATCACAAGGCCTGACTTTGGCCAAAATCTCCCTTTTAGTAATAAATCACAATATGCATCAAGGATTTGTGTCAGGTGTGGTGAATGTTATTTAGTAGCTATTAAGAAAAAAGAAAACCCTTCTATTTTGCATAAAAACCCACAGTACTGCAGAACTGGAAAAGGGCAGTTTTTATAGTTCTGTTAACTGTCAAGTTTAAAGCTATTAGGGTTACCTCTTTGGTCTCACTGCTTTATAAAAAGGGCAAGTCTCAATATTAATGCATCATTTTCCTTATTACTTACCTAAGCTGGCTGGCATTATTACTGCAATAATTACAGATGTGTACATCACTTAGCTTCCTCTGCCTAAACAAGACTAAGAAATAAAATGTGAAGAACATAAAAAAAGGGAAGGCCCCCGACTCACCTGTCCGATTCCAAGGAACCACCACCCTCCATTGACCCTGCTCCCTTCTCACGCCGTAGCGCCGCCGGATTCTCTTTCGAGAGCGCATCTTCCTCTTCGACTCCGACCGCCGCCGTTTGGCGACTGAGTCCTCCGTTCTGTTCGCTGTGGCCACCCTGAAAAGCAGAGGAGGGGGACTGATGGTCCACCTTCACTTCCTCGGACGGTGGGCGGTCTTCTTCCTTTTCCGATGCTGCCGCCACAGCCTGCTCACCACTCATCCCGGGAGAGGTGTTGCCGTTGCCGTCCTCAAGAGTTGCCGGCTTCTCTTCAGCAGCAGGGCTGCTAGAGTGAGGAGCATCTCCTGCAGCGCCACCTCCCTTCAGGCCGACCCAAGGAGGCTCTGGCTCCCGTGGAAGCCCCGAGGGCTTTCCCGGGGCTTCTTCACAGAGGCGCTCCGGGGAAAGCGGGACTTGCTCGTCGCCTTCCTTCAAAGCGGGTCCCTGGGGGGCCGCCGCCGTTGTATCGGCGCTTCCCTCGCAGGCGACCCTCAGCGTCTGCAACTGCTCCGCCACCGTCGAGCCTGCAAGGCCGGAATCGCCGTCCATCCGCACAGCCGAAGACGCGTCCATGACTGATCCACGTGCGGCTTCACAAACGGATGACAACAAATGATGGCGCGCTATATTTACGCCACCTCCGGGGCGGTTCCTTCCAAGGGAGCGATATGCGCAGGTGAGGTGCGTGTGAGCGGATAGGTTCGCCGCAATTGCTGGGGCTGAGAAGCAGATGCGATATAAAGAATGGAAGGCTCGTAGCTGCTGGGGTGGGGTGGGGCGATTTAGAGTATGAGAGTCTGAGTTGTGTTCGTCTTCATTTAGCTCGGCTGCCAATGATCAGATTCTATAGTATACCGCCAGTCTCGAATAATGTCACTATCTGCCCACTCCCCACAAGAACACATTTATCGATCCTCTTGTTTTTAACACAAGCATTCTGACACTGCAGAATCCTTCACACACAAACAAGCAATTATGAATTGCCCCATTGACGCCTGTTTAAGAAGCAAACCTGTAGATAAGAGTGAAGGCTTTGTGAGATGTAAAAAACCCAAATTTTGATACTCACAATACGAAGACAAGTCTGGTTAACAAAACAAAGGTTTATTGGAGAATAACAGAAACAGAATAAAAGAGAAAAGAAAAAGAATAGAAGAGAGGAGAGGAGAGGAGAGGAGCATTTGCAAACGCGGCCCCCTGGATCCTTCCCTATGGATTGGATTCCAGGAGCACACTGGCCTGGTTTCAAGATCTGCATTTTATACCCCTACAATGCATGTCACATCTAAGCAGCTCTTTCATCTTTATAGATGTACTCTGAAGTTGTACTTTGTTAACCTGACTTCTTCCGTCCATCTGCTGTTATCTTGTTTATTTGTAAGTCTCACCTTGGGTCAAAATCCCCCTCTTCGATAGTAGGATTTCTACTCAAAGTGTAAGTTCCTGTGTCGGGAGGATTTTTTAGGCAGGAAATAGTAAACATTTGGTCATATATTGGCATTGCATTGTTACATTTGTGTTACAGTGTTACATTCGTACTAAAGAGATAGTTTCATATAATGGCATTACATTTCTACAATTATTTCTACAATTATTAAAAGAATAACTTTTATTTCCTTCAGCTTGATGAGGACGATCACTTGACTATGAACCAGTAATGTGCGGCAGCAGCCAAAAAAAAATCTAATACAATCCTGGGTGGTATAAACAGGCATAGAATCAAGATTACATGAAGTATTAGTACTGCTTTATAAAACCGTAGTAAGACCACACCTGGAATACTGCAGCCAATTTTGGTCACCATATCACAAAAAAGAGGTTGAGAATTTTTTGGAAAAAAATCATAGAAAAGCAACGAAGATGATCCAAGGCCTGGAGACTAAAACATACGAAGAACAGCTGCAGGACTTGGGTTTGGATAGTCTAGAAAAGAAGAAATAGGGGAGACATAATAGCAATATTCCAGTATTTGAGAGGCTGCCACAAAGAAGGGGTCAAATTATTCTCTAAAGCACCCGAGGGCAGGACAAGAAACAATGGTTGGAAACTGATCAAAGAGAGAAGCAACCTGGAATTAAGGCAGCATCAGCTGGAGGTGACCAGCAATTGGCCCTCACCCACTTCACACACATCCAGCTCTGTGGACTCTGAGGGAGGAGACTCCGCAAGTGACATGCCCCCCAGCCTGGGATATTTAAGGGATTTCAATTGATCTTGATAAAAAAATTGTTACTTCTCAAAATAGGATTTCTATTGGAAGCAGCAAAGGAACTGCTCCCTTTTCATCTTCTGGAACAGTAGAAGCCTAATTTACACGGGTGACTTTTTTTGCATGTGACTTAGGGTAGAACCCAGGTATGAATTTAATGAAAGAATGTTTAATGACATGTCATAATAATTTTTACTTTTTTCATTTTCTGTCTTTGAAAACATATAACTAAGTATTCATAGAACTAAGAAGAAATTTCCTGACACCAAGAACAATTAATCAGTGAAATGGCTTGCCTTCAGATGTTGTGGGTGCTCCATCACTGGAAGTTTTTAAAAAGACATTGGACACCCATTTATTCAGAACAGAATAGGCTCTCCTGCTTGAGCTCAGGCTTGGACCAGAAGATCTCCAAGGTCCATTCCAACTTTGTTATTCTGTATTCTGTATATCAGTATTGCAGCCCTCTGACTAATGAACTAACCCTCATGTGGCACTTGGGTAATTGCAAATTGAATTCCCTATTACGAGGAAGAAAAGGCCAGGTTGTTCATGAGTTAGCTTTTTTGAATAAAGTGTCACAGAGGTAGGAAAAAAATTAACATTCTCCAGTTGGGTTGGTTTTGTACAAAGCTTAAAACCAAAAGTACAACATACTATATAACCAGTGATGCCCTGGTTAAGTGATACTCACAATAAAAAGTCACATCATCAGCTGAGATGACTAATGTCCTGGCCTAAATGCCTGTGGGACCATGTGAATTTCAGTGAGATGCTGTTCCACAGGATAGGTGCAACCACAGAGATGGTAGGATCCAACAGAGTGGCATTGGTTGATGGAAGAGACTCTGAGCAGGTCCTCTCTGCTAGACCTAGTTTAGATGTAATACATATTAGGTATATTATAAATATATTACATCAGGCATGTCAAACTCGTGATGTCACGTGATGTCGCGCAACGTATTGGGCCAGTTTTGCCATTGCTGGTGGGTGCGGCTTCCACGTGACACGTCCAGCCCATGGGCTGGCAGTTTGACACCCCTGTATTACATTATATTATTTCATTGATATTTGGAAAGTTAAATTATAAAAAAAGTTTGCTGTGCTTTCCAGATGTTCATTTATCTTTTTACCCTTCTCATGTATATTTTAGGAAACCCAGAAAAACATAATCTACTGATGGTGATTTAAGGGGAGGGAGGGTGATTGGCTTCAGAATTTAAATATGAGCTCATAAATAGTTTTACATGGAAGACTAAAGCATTTAAAATTTCTCATGTCAGAAATCTTCAGCCCTAGATTCTTAAAATAACTCATTTCGTTCTTAACAATAGAAAAGCCCAAGCTGTGGTTGTCTATTCATTTACTAAAATAAAATAATGGTTCTAAAAGACAGTGCTCAATGTTTAAAGGTAAAGGCACTAATAGAGCAACATACATTTTCAGTAAAAATTAAAACAAAATTATATTTTATTCATTAATTATTTCATAAATGTTTCCAATTCTTTAACAGATTAAATGTAATACACATTTTCTCATATAGATCTTTATGAATTGCATAATGAACTTTATAATGAATTAATTTATATGAAATATAGACTATATTAAGTGGTTACATTACTGTTTAATATTCACACTAATGCTGTTAAATGCAGTACTTGAGGAGGCTGTAACCTTAATTATTTATGTAGTTTAACTGCCACTTTCAATAAGCTTCTATTATCAAAATATGTCAAGGTTAATATTAAATAATCTAAAATTATTAAAATATGCATTTATCTCATTTTGCTTCCAAAAGTACATTTTATTGTTGTATTTGTTAAACAAAAAGGAAAGGAAAACACTGTGAAGCTTGATAAATACTAAAATCCATATTATGACAATTTAGAAATCACCAAATTGTATAGGTTTTTGAGAATTTCAGGATTATATAAAGATACATTTATCCTATCATTGAAAATTATATTTTTCTATAATTCTTATAGAATTATAAACATTAAACTTGTTTAGATATGGTTTCTAGATCTATGTTCTTTAATTATTCATATACTTCTTGCTTATTTTAGTTGGCAGATTTTTATGATGCCAATGAATCCCATCTTGTGAAAGGTGTTTTGGAGACTTACACTGAGGACCTGATGAGCTAATCATCCCTGAAGGAGTGGGGATGTCATTACAATATAAATTAGCAATGAGAAGCTGGATTCTGACCACCAAAATTTCTCCAGAACAAGGAAAGATCATTCACATGTACTCTGGATTTCTTTTCTGAAGTACTCTGCACGATCCAATTTGTTTGTGGTCAGTTGGTGAGTTGAATAGTTAGTAGTGGAGGGATTCCATCTAAGTTCACTGTTGTAATATAGCCTATATGGAAATAACGTTACTTTGGAATCACTTTTTTATTGCTTCAAATATTAAGAACCTTTGGAAGAGCAATTTTATTCTGTTTTAAGATTGCAATACAGAAACATAGACATAGTCTGAAGGTGAAGCAGATAACTGCAGACAGAAATATAATTCAAATGCCTAGCAAAGAGTGCTTGCCTGAAAAATGCTGATTACAAGGTTATTTCTGAACAATGGATTCAGAAGTTAATTTTATAAATGTCTGCCATCATAGATAATGTGCAGAATGGACATCCGGAAGTGGCATCCACACAGAGAATCGGTTGTTCATATATCTGAATCCCACCACTGTCTAGGCTGCTTCTCTCTTTGTTCAGTTTCCAACCATTGTTTCTTGTTTTGCCTTCTAATGCTTTAGAATAGTGCTTTTCAACCCATGGTACACATACCACTGTTGGTACTTCAGTACCTGACAGGTGGTACGCATTCAACAGGTTGAAAGGCACTATTTAAAAAAGTGTAAAAGTGTAGTGAGGGATGAGTTGAACCAGCAGCAATGCCATAAAAAAGTGAGGGCCATAAAACCCCTTTGTTCACCCCCCTTCCCCTTCATCGTATGACAGAATCCAGAGAGGGAAGAAATGGGGTTTTCCATAGTTGATAACTAGAGATGAAATATAATTGGATTCTGACAGCATAGTTCTTAAGTGAATCTGGTTTCTCCATTGACTTTGCTTGTCAGAAGGTTGCAAAAGGGGATCACATGACACTGGGACACTGTGACCATCATAAATATGAGTCAGTTGCCAAGCATCCAAATGTAAATTACATGATCCTGGGAATGCTGCAACAGTCATAAGTGTGAAAAATGGTCATAAGTCACTTTTTTCAGTGCCATTGTAACTTCAAATAGTCACTAAGCGAACTGTTGTAAGTGAGGACTACCTGTAGTTTATAATTTTTTTCCTTTTGGGGGGGGGGTCATCAAGTTTTTGACACCTTGCTAGGCAATTGGTGGTATTCGAATATTGCCATATCCTAAAAGTGGGAAAATTGATGAAAAGGTTGAAAAGCCCTGCTTTAGAAAACTCTTAATAGACTTTTGCTGACCAGAGTTTAGTTTTTGTTTATAGATAGTGTATGAGATGAAGAAATTGTTTGTTGTATTTTAAGAGAAGGTGATAAGTTGTTAAAATTGTCTGTACTTGTGAAGAAGGGGAAAGTTATTTCATTATATATTTATTTTTTTCTTCTTTGCTATACTCTCATTTTTTTCTTTCTTTTCTATTTTTCTTTTCTTCTGCTGGAGCAAGTCTGCAATTATCAAAGAAAATATATCTTAGTATCCTAAAGTTAGTTACCAGCTATTTGCTCTGATAATATCAGTAAATCTACCATCATTACAGATATAATACTATTTCTTGTATTCTACTGAATTGCTGCCTATTTTTGCTTCACTTCAAAGCAATATACCCCAAATCCTCAGTAACATCTTGAAGCCAAATGCTCTGCCATGAAACTGCTATTTTACTTGTTCACAGCCTTTTCTCCTCATTTGTATGTGCAATGGTGGATACAGCAATGAGCTCATTATTAATGATGATACCAATTCCAATAGACTATGAAATTGGTTTGTCATGGACTGCATTAGGCTCTGACTATTGGCTCTCTTGACTCATGCAATGTTTGCAATGGCAATTATATCATTTTCACTCAGAAATGATGTTAAGGATGCTCTTACACTTCTACATATTTTTGAAAGTCCTGAATTCCCCTAAAAACCAACAGTTTCCATAGTGATCCAAACTAGTTGCATTGGTTGCCTAGTGACAGAGTTTACCAGTACCCTACATTGCAGTATTTTCTACAAGGAAATAGTTATGCACAGGCATCCAAATAGATGCCATTTCTACTGATACCTCCCATGTAGTAATGGAAAATGTATTATTTAATGTGCATTAATGTATATTATTCTGTATTGGAGCACTAATACATAGGCAGATTTTAGTACTTACTTGAATTGTGTACTGAGTTACAGATATGATTTTGGAAAAAGAATGTAACATTCAACAAAATATGATCTGAGCTTGGGAAAAGAGGAGAATATTAGAAAAAAAGTTAAACTGGTTCCACCTTAACTTTGATTAGTATAAAAGTCAGAAAGTGAAAACTTGGTCAGCCTTTCAAGAATCTGTTACTATAGCCTGTATCAATAAAATAGAAATCCAGTATATCTTGTGATTTTGTTTCCTGATTTGGTCTACCTTAAAGGGCTGAAGTACATTGACAGGAATGTGTATATGTATTGAATGCTGAATGTGTGATTCAGTGTGTCTTTTTACTCAATAGCTTGTATTCCATTTTTCTATGCTACTGAAGTCTAGCATTTTCTGAACGTCCTGTAGATTCCTCATTTGTGTGTACACTCATATTCAGGGGCTATTTCAACCATGTCACCTTTGTTCTTCCTTGCCTGCTCCTGGAAATATATAAGCAACGATATGATGACAGAAAGTAATGTTTCTTACCCAAATGGGTCACCACAGATTTTTTTGAACTTAAAAAAAAACCCCACGTAGGCATCAAGAAGGTCATCCAGCCAGCAAATGCTCAAGCTCCATTCAGTCACCCTGATTCCACCCCCAATGCAATGGATTGCAGGGTTGTTAAAAGAAAAGAATACTATGCTTCTGCTATAATTAGAGCAGCCTTCACCTAAAGTGTCTAAACAGGAGGCACTAACAGACAAAGTCCAACCATTTCAAGTAAATTAATTTAATATGTTTTCAGTGTTAGCACCAACATACATCTTGCAGAAAGGAAAGAAAGGTAAAGTGACAACACAATGTTGAAAATATTACACACTCCTGTCCTGCACATTGGGTGAGATTTGAAGTAAGTCACCAAAAGAAGATGAAAGGAGTAAACTGAAATATTATACAGTGGAAATGTCAACATCCAAGATACGTTAGAAATATTCTTTATATACAGGTTCTTGTAATAATAGAAGATAAAATTAGATCAGCACTCCAGTCATTACCAAACTGGAAGGCTACAGGAATTGATGCAATATCCACTGAAATACAGCAATCAACAGAAGAAGACTCAGTCAAGGTTCTCACCAAGCTATATCAGCAAATATGGAGAATAACACAGTGGCCAATTGATTGAAATAGGTCAATTTACAAAGATATGTAGCAGAGTATGTTACATATGTAACACCATTGGAGGACATTTAAAAATAGGGATAGATTGTCATGAAGAAAATCTGTTCATGGAATCAAAAACAACTCAGTGGCACATGATTAAAGTAAATGAGACAAGTTAATTGATTTCAGCATAACAACATTGTGCCAAACCTGATCTCAATCCTATTCTTTAGCACCTCAACTAGATCAAGCTGTTGGATTAAAAATAGAGCTATTTTTAGTTTTCTAAATTCTGGATGTGGATAGCTGTTTTCCAGGCTTTTTTTGATCTGCAGCATTTATCTAAGAGAAAGGATTCTTTGTATTTTTATTTCAATAGCAACTGTTTTGAAGTTTTTATGACTTTGTTGTATAACCTGCATATTTGTTTGTCCCCTGCCTCACCTAAGTCTTCTGTCTTTAAGAATTCTTTTCTTCATTTATCAAAAACAAACGGCACAACTTATTGTTAATGGGGGTTTATCAGAGGTTTTTACAATAGAAAAGGGGACTAGACAGGGATGTCCATTGTCACCACTGCTGTTTGTTTTAACTTTGGAAATATTGCTGATTAAAATTAGAGAATCACAGGAAATAAAAGGAATAGAAGTTAATAAAAAAGAATATAAATTAAGAGCTTTTGCAGATGATTTGGTGGTTACCCTGTCCCAACCTACTTATTCGGTAGTAGAGTTATTACAATTGATAAACCAATATGGACGGGTTTCGGGTTTTAAAATTAATAACAATAAGACTAAAATATTACCCAAAAATATGACTAATTTGGATAAGCAGACTTTGGTTAAGTTGACAGATTTTGAGGTTGTTGATAAGGTAAAATATTTGGGGGTTATTTTATCTGTTTCTAATGCAAAATTATATAAAAATAATCATGAAAGGTTGTGGGTCAGGATACAAAGAGACTTGAAAAATTGGGAGAAGTTGCAATTATCTCTTTTGGGAAGAATTGCGGTGATCAAAATGAATGTTCTGCCAAAGTTCCTTTTTTTATTTCAAATGATACCTATTCTAAAGAATGAGATTAATTTAAATGAATGGCAGAAAGATATCAATAAATTTATTTGGGCGGGGAAAAAACCAAGAGTAAAGCTTAAAATAATACAAGACACTCGTGAGAGAGGTGGACTCAAGGTACCGAATTTGAAATTGTACTATGATGCGGTGGTCTTAACATTAATTAGTGATTGGGTTAATTTAACAAATGTAGAAATACTCCTCTTGGAGGGTTGGGATTTACTTTTTGGATGGCATGCCTATTTAATTTTTAATAAAAAAGTTGATAGGGTTTTTAAATCTCATAAGGATTTCTTTATTTCGAGTTTGGAGGAAATATTATAGAAGTGATTTTAAAATCCCATTATGGGCTATACCTTGGCATGCGATAGAGGGGATAAGGAGAGGAGTCAAGATGGATGGTGTTTCTTATGCACAATTACTTAGATGGGATGGTAAAAATTGGCAGTTAAAATCTTTGGAAGATCTAGCACAAGAAAATATTATATACTCATGGTTTCAGTATAGACAAATAGTGGATAAATGGAAGTTAGATCGTAATGTGGGTTTACTTAGAGAAGATGAAAATTTTCTTAAACAACTAAAAGACCAAAGACGAACTCATATTAAGAGAATTTATGGGGTGCTAGTGGAACTGGATTCAGAGGCAGAATTAATTAAAGAATGTATGATTAAATGGGCACAAAATTTTGGTGAACCAGTTCTACCAGTTCCCAGATACCTGGGAAATTATTTGG